AGCAAAAGGGACCTAGAGAGAAAACAGCAAAGCTTCCGAGCTGGTATTTTCAGCACCATACCTCTGAGGAAGCTAACAATTCTTTTCTGCTTGATAATGAAATAGTTTTTTTTCCTTAGAAAAGTTTTATTTGCCTTTTCTTTGATAAATAATCCTGCAAAGCATCAGCAACAGGATCACAGGGCTCAGCTATCTTTGCCAATATCTGATTACATGCCACATACACCCAGTTTAGGGAGCCCTCTGCAATTAACTGCCAGGCAACTAAGAATAAACCCCTAGGCAAGTTTTAAAATAGGAGACAGTTTAGCACTTTTATCCTTTTCTCCATTCTCTCCACCTTTCACAAACATTTTCACTGACTGTTTGCTGGGCAAATGTTTGGTGATAGCAGCCACGGAGTTCAGGACCTAGGTGAGGCTGTAGCCACACAGCGACACAGCATTTTGAAAGGACCAGCACAGAGCAGTGCTGGAACCACTCGGGTCTGAGCCACCTTAACCATCCCCAGCGTCACTCAGCCCGCTCCCAGCTGCAGAGCACACACTAGGGAGCAACTCTTCAAAAGTAATATTTTCTCAGTGCAGCAGAAGTAAAAGGAAACATCAGCTTCATTTTTATATCAGCAGATTTCTTGACCTCAGGTTCTGGGGTAAGGCTGGTAAGCCAAGTAAAACAGATGATTAATGTGACCCCAGATGAAAATTTTTGCATTATTTTTCCATCCACGAAAGGAGGTGTGGATGAAAGTCCCTTGCAGAGAATACTACAAATTGATAGCTTTGTTCCAGTTCACTGTAGTTTCTATTGATCTTCTCTCATTTTAGACTGCATTGATTTGTTAAATCCCTTCTCCTTAACAGTTCTAATGACAGAGAATGAAAAACTGACATGTTGAGGCTTTTCCTCCAACTTCTTGCTTCAAACCATAATTCCATGCAGATTTGGAACCCAACCATGCACATACCCTGGGCTAACCCTGACTCATACTGGGACACACTTTATAGGGAAATCGTGGTTGAGGCTTGTCATGGATCCACAAAGCACCTGGGAGAGCTTTAATGAAGGAGGACAGGATTTCTGCCCTTAGAGGAGCCACCTCCAAAGGTTGCTGCCCAAACAGCCTTTGTCTGAGCAAATTTTTCAAGCAAGTTTACGGCACTACACAATAAAAGGCAATAATTGCAGGACTCCACTGCAGAATCCGGGATCCAGACTGCCAGACTAGTTCCTAGGCCTCCTCAGAAAAAAAAAAAATATCCTACAACAAATCCCAGCCCAAGGAAAGTTCTCAGAGCCCTAAGGAAGACAAGAAGTTTAAATGATCTCATGGGGACTTTCTTGAATTCTACTTTCCCCCTCTGCCCCCCATGAAGGCTGTGAAGTGTAAAACAAACAGCAAAGTCCAAATTCAGAAAGACATCTTTAAGAAAAGCATTAGTTTCTTTTAAATACCCATTACAATCCAACCACAATATGAAAAAATGTCACAATACATCCGCATTGTCTAATATACTAGGCGAATTTTAAAATTGTCCAAAGCTGCTAAATACAGCAGCAGCAGGCATGTGACTTATCAGAGAAGTTTTGTTTTCCCCCTAAATTCACACAGCCCAAGCGCAGTTTTCCTGCCCTTATCTGAGGCATGTTAGAGCTATCGGATCACCGACGGCCTCCTGAAAGCCGGCCATGGACCTGCGTGTGCAGCAACCACAGTCACTACCTGCAGCTTGCTGCTCCAGAGCGCAGAGCACCATCAGCAGCCCAGAAGCTCCACGACTGCTGCAAACCCCTGCTTACAGGCCTGCAGTGACAAGCGCCCATTCGTTCTCCAGAGCTGCTGCAGGCAGCCGCTCCTTGCCTTGCCAGCAGGACCTCGCACGCCTGCAGCCTCAGCAGAAGAGCAGGCCCTTGCCTCTTGCTCCACGGCAGCCTTTCCTGCTGGAGGATCCCCAGCTGGAGCAATGAGAGCGCTTACCCAGGCGCTTAGTGGAAGCCACCCACGGTAACTGCCACACAGCGCGCCTCAGCGTAACCTCCCCTACCTGCAGCGCTCCCTTCAGTCGTACCACAACAGAGCTTAAGGAACAGAGGGCTGGAGAGCAACACGGGACTCGGGTCCTCGCTTTGTAGCTGCCTTGCTGGGTCACCTGAACCCATTTCACTTCTTTATTTCTGCTCCCACCTGCTACTCATCTTCCTGATTGGCTTCAAACACTAAGATCCACCTCTTACCATGAACTCTTCCAGGGCCACATCTGTCTTTCATTTAGGAGTTTTAAGGCAAGCTAGGAAATAGCACTTTTTCTGAACTATATTTTTTGACTTACTAAGAGTTACTGAGCTTGGAAGGAAAAGAAAAATAAAGAGACTTTAAAATATATATATATATATTTTTAATCAGCTTAGTGCCTCAGTTAACATGCATATGTTCCCAAGCACTGAGCAGTAAAGATCCAATTTAGGCAAGTTAAATCTGCCCTCTTTTCCCCCTCTAACAGAAATACAGACCTCTTCTCTGACAATTCCCAATAAAGAACACAGCCATGACTAACTACAACACCAAACCAAGGGGCTTCTAAGAGCCACCCACACTTCCATCAGAGATGACATATTTAATACTCTCGGGTTATTTCTCAATATATCCCTCAAAATCTTCTACTACAGTGTTGCTTACGAAGAGGCCCCTAACAACGTCCCTTAGTACACAGTTATTTATTTTCTATTATTACATCTCTATATCTGGTATTTTAAGATAAATTGATCCTTAAAAAGTTTTAACAGTTTAAGAATTATTATTAGAACAGATCTCTTAAATTTGTTTACCTTTAGGGAGATGCTTAGTTTTCAACATAAAAGTAGATAAAAGAAAGAAAAGACAGAAAAAGTCAAAATGCGTCTATATTCCAAAGAGTTGCACCTAAGCAAAAGCATCATATAATTGCAACCAGGAGTGGGGAATAAAAAAATTTAAAAGGACAATAGAGAAACATAGGAGGGAATTCAATCCAAGCAAAACAAGCAAACACATACCCCAAAACAGCAGCATGACCAGGAAAAAAAAGGGGGCAGGGGGGCATTTTTCTGCTTCTCAACTGAAAAATCCCCATCTCCCTCCTCCTATACAATCCAGCAAAGCTTTCTTTTATGAGGAATATGAGGAAAACATTGGCTCCACGTGAACCGGGCTACATATCCGACCTGAACACAGCCCTTCCGTCCACGCAGTGCCACAAGAAGCGCTCAGCCCTGCACAGGGACTTCTCACTTGTTTACTGCTGCAGCAAACGTTTGCTGCAATATGAATGACGTGCTGGCCATACCCCAAACTGTAAAGCAAGAGCTCCTCCAAAGGGAACCGTAACCCAACCGTTCCAGAGGAGCTTTTGAGTGGTCACTACACAGGACGTCACAGCAATTGCAATGCACAGAAGGAAGAACCCTCCCCTTCTCTCTTGGAGAAGACGGTTGATAGGCTATAAGTAAAGAGATAACAGGCAACATGGAAGATGATTTTAGGGAGATCACAGTAGAACTTAACTAGATTTTAACATCAGTTCAGTGCTTTGTGCTTTTTCTCCTCGGTTCCCTAACTCTTGAGATCAGTTTCTCCACTTCAGTTTTTAAGAATATCAACACAAGTGCAGAAGAAATCAGCAGATCACAACTTGGCCACAAGTTCAGTTCAATCATTTAAAATAGATAGGCTAGATCATTTAAAATAGATAGAAAGATAGGCTGTGGATGAGGATTATATTAATTTTAAGCCTCATTTGTTGGATCAACTCTCCATATTAAAATACAAATCAGAGTTGTTAATCCGTGGTAAATACAGAAGAGAATTCACCCCTTCCACATTCATTTTAATTCAGCTCCCAAGATAGACATCTTCAAATGACAACAAATGGAAAAAGAACAGTTCGTGTAGAGAAAAACAGCTAAGACTTATACCTATTCCACATAACCTACATATAACAATGTAAAGAGCAATTTTAAGTAAAACAAACAACCAAATTAAAAAAAAACAAACAAAAAAAACACACTCCAGCTTTATTTTGTAACCTTGAAGTGAAGCAATTCATGCTCTTATTATCTGCTTTTTCCTTTTCTCATCCATACAGCTCCTCCTAGGGTACAAACAATACTTACTCTTGATCATGCTCTTCTTAAATCATCTTCATGCTGCTAGCCCTGCAAAGAGCGATGCCTGCTCCAGAGCACTGCCATTGCTAATCACTCAAACCAGGCCTCACGTAGGTCTGCGAGGAGGAGCAGCACCGAGGGCAGCAGAATGAAGACGAGATTGATTTTGCTCTTCCTTTTCAAGGAATTTATCTGATTGCATCCTTTTCGTTTGCCTTCATGGATCATTTGTCCTGCCAAGTGCATGTTCCGTTCCTCCAGGCAAAAGCTAGAGCTGCCTTCCATTGGCTTTGTGTTGTACCAGAAACAAGTTCATACTTGAGGCATTGCCCAAAGCACAAATGAGAAACAGAATGAAAAGGATGCAGCTGTGGTGTTCTTTGCCGATATCCAATGACAAAAACAGGAACACAAACTGAAGAAGGCAGGAGCAGTTTGGGACTTGGAGGCAACACTGCATCGGAGGGATTATTCCCCGCCGTGGTACCGTGGGCTCTGAGGTTCCACTGAGCGTCTATGGGCACACACACACAGGACGAGGCTCATGACCAGAATGGGCAGGGGCTGCCTCTTCTGACAAAAGTCCCATCATGAAATACAGTACCAGGCCCTAGGATGAAACACGTGCTCCACGGCTCAAGTGGTCAGCCTGCAGCCCCTTGCCTTTTGACCACCAGCTTCCCTGTAGGGAGATGTTTTTGACTGGATATTTGCCTATATAGGACCTATGCATTGCCTCTCACAGGCTGCATCTCAGCCACTACCACAAAGCAATGTTCGCAGGCAGTACAGGCTATATGCTGTGCCAAACTATGGCCAACACCCTGAGCGTCTGAGTAATTCTTTCTTTCTGATCTTCAGTGGTGGTCCTGGTAGAACTAGGAGGAAACAGCCGAAAACTAAAGCATCAAAAGTTCCACAAGAACTTTAAGAAATTTTTCTTAACAGTGAGGGTGACAGAGCACTGGAACAGGCTGGCCGAGGAGGTTGTGGAGTCTCCTTTTCTGGAGATCTTCCAAACCCGCTTGGATGCAGCCCTCTGCCACATGCTCTAGGTGACCCTGCGTGTGCAGGGAGCTGGGCTAGATGACTTCTAGAGGTCCCTTCCAACCTTAAGCATTCTATGATTCTCTGCGGTTTCAATATGGTTGCGTCACTTCAAATTAGCCATATGAAAAGAAAACCCACAATACCTCTCAGGGAGGTTTCAAAGTAAATGAATATTCATGATGTGTTTAGACAGCCTAAGATAGAAGTTACTCTGTTTTTATTGTTTGTCTGCTAGAGAAAGGCCCCTGGTGAAGCAGTTAGAGAGGGCTCCAGACAGAAGTAGCACAGCAGCAGGGCAGGGTCCCACCTCGTCTGCTACACCTGGAGAGCTGCACCCAGCTCCGGAGCATAGCATTAGCTGAGAGCATGCAGCAGCTTTAGCTAAGGGGAACTCTGTTTATACACAGGAATAAATCAGGTTCTGAATACAAAAGCCTTTTACAAATTTGAAATAATTGAATCACGTTAACTCCAGAGCTTACAGGAAAGGCAGTGAAAGCTCTTACTGCAGCATTTGGAAAAGTTCTGTTAGGAAACTGTTCCGACTATCTCAATGCACTCAAAAAAAAAAAAAAAAAAAAAAAAAAAAAAAAAGGGGGGGGGGTGGATTTCCTTCCTTACCTGAGATGCTCCATCAAGGCAAGGCACTGAAGTCGGGATGTTACATAACGGCTCCAAGGGCTGTTCAGATGCTCTGCACGCCTCCTGTCCATCGGGAGCCACCGCACGCCTTCCAAGCTGCCCATAGTCTGCTCTGCCCCAGGTGAATACCCTGCCAGTTTCTCAACACAGAACATATTTCAAAATTACTTATTCATCAGGGCCATGGAACATCTGGGTAAACACTCAGAACAAGAACAAACCTTAATGTATTTACTTCTTGGGCCATAATTAAAAAAAAACCCTTCAAACTAACTAAAAACATATTATGAAATACCTCTACACAGTTACTCTAACTTCATTTTTTTCATCTTTGGGGTGGCTTGGGCTGTAAGTGAAACCATCTCAGTATAGCTGTATGATGTTTTGCACACAATGCTCGTTTCAGTTATACAAAAGTAATTTTCAGTGTAACAAAAGCTCACACAAAACAGTTTATTCTGAAGCATAAAAGAATTTTTCTTGTTTCCAAATATTTGCTATAGAGACATCTATGCTGTGTCCTGTATCTAGCATACGGTTTGAATTTTCCTTGTAGGAGATACCTTCTGTCACAGCTTCTGTTAACAGGGAAATGGTTCTCAGAACAGCAACTGGTTAGTCAGCAACATGACCACAGTTGTCAGTAAGCATTGGAAACAAGTGATCTGTTCTCACAGGAATCACACACTGGCCAAGAAAAGCTTACTGGGAAGCAGGAACTCTCATTCTAGTCAAGAAAACCTGAAGCAACCTTGAATTATGTACATACTTAAGCTTAGCCTCAAGCACCTCTCTAGACCTGAGCTCAAGCAAGTCCAAGTCAGTCACACGCTAGAAAGTCATTTTTTTTCCTCCATAGTTCTATTTCAAGGCAAGCAACTACACGCTTCTCTCCTCATCAGTCAGTACGGACACACATCACAGACTGCCAAGGGAAGACACATGGGGCTTGTATTAACATATGCCATAAAACAGACCTTTGGAAACCTCAACACCTCCCTTTTTTCAAAATATATTTCATATATAAAAAGTATATGCATCTTCCATACAAATTTGCTAACAGTTTTCCATTCAGAGCTTTACAACAATTCTTCAGTTTCATTCTCAGTTCACTGATAATGCTTTCCTAAAATAATTAAGGGATAAAATTAGTTGCCTTCTCCTTTCAAGGGCACAGAGATTTTCCTCCTTTGGAGCATCTTGACACTTCAGGGAAAAGAAGAGACCAGTATCAAAAGTAGTATGTGACAAGAGGTGTCTTTCAGTACAGCAGTCCCGCTTGCTTAGTTTAATCATTAAAACAAGTTTATTAAGCAAATTGCCAGCTGAGATGAAGAAAACAGTTTGCAATTGCACTTAAAAAGTCAGCATATTTAGCTTACGCTCTGTATAGACCTCTGATAAAAACATCTGCAGCTACATAAGTGTTGCAAAAAAAATCGTGCATCAGTATTTAGTATCAGATTTAAATGAAGGCTTAGCCTCAGGACCTTTCTATGAGACCAACTTACTGCACGTATTCAAAACCACCTCAATGGACTAAAAACGGATGGGCAGACAGCTCTATTTTGCCTCAGCTACAAGAACAGAAGTTGAACTTTATGGAATTTAGAGCTAGAAGGAACATCTGTATCATCTAGCTATATCATTAATATATATCTCAGGTTCTCAAATTCTGCCCAGGCTTGGCTGTATTAATCCCAAGGACTGTAGCTGAATATTCATTTCCACTTTCAGAAGCCAAAGGCATGGACTGTAACCAGCAAAAGCATCAGTGACCCAGAAGGCCTTGAAACAGATTGAACAGAGAGAGCGCCCTGGTGTTCAGCCACAACTAAGTGCCTTCCATCCCCAGGGTCTGTTCTCCCCCGGGCAGGCCCAGAACCGCCTGGACACACAGAGCTGCCCAGACCTCCACAAGAGCTACCCACAGCGTAGGGCTGCTTACAAATAGAAATTAATTGTCACGATTTCGCTTTTTTGTTGCCACTATTAGAGAAAAAAGTTTAGAGTAGAAATTGGCAGGCAAATATGAAGAACATCCATTCAGAAAAGTAAAAAATCAGATGAACTAATTTTTGTTTTCCAGAACAAATTTGTTAAAGCCCAAAGACTAGGTAAGCAGCCAGCTAGCTCAGTTCTCACAACAGCTACTCCAGTCAACGGGAATTCACGCCCCAGAGTCACTGCTGATGGGGAGCATCAGCTTTCCCGCACTCGGGCTCCTGCTCGCGGTCCTTCTTTTCAGCAGAGTACATCTACTGTGGGATCCTTGGAAAAAATGACTTTTTTGATTGTCTTCTGTAAGAGATCTTAACAGGAGATGATCTAGAAGACTCTGTATGAAATACTTATTATATTTTCAGCACTCCAACAAACTCTCGTTCTGAAGTGGAAATTTCAGGCTGAGGCAACACCAAGGCATGGAAAATTCCAGCCAAAAAGCTTAAAGTCTTGTCAAAATCCTAAGCAAAAAAAAAAAAAGACCACTGAATTATGACAGAAAGTGCTAAGCAATTGCAATGAAATGTATTGCTACTGTGCCACTTATAATATAGATGGTATTTTAAAATGTTCTAAAAATATTTGAGAAAAAGACATTAGTCATATAGAGTAAGGAGGTTGCAGGATGAATTACTTAAGAACGAAGGGTGATATAACAAGGAGTGTTGGTCTAATATTAGACTAGAACAGTTTTTAATTAGAAATCAGGAAAACATATACAGTGATGAGTCAACTGGACAGAGAATACATCAACCATTGAAGTGGCAGAGGCATCAAAAAAATGAGGAACTTCATACCAGACTCTATATAGTAAAAGGGCATAAAAAGGCAGGAGTTATTTCTACAAATTGAGAGAAAGAAAGAAACATAAAATGTAGGAAGGCTTTTCTGGCCTCCGAAGATACTAATGATGCTTAGCGAGACCTTGGTCTTCCCATGCCCTGAGCAGGACTGCCGCAACTCACCTGCTGCTCAACTGAGCATCTGCGTTGTCCGACCTGAGTCCATCGCAGTTGTTCGTTATAGCACCAGGCAGGGGCTCCAGCAGGCAGGGCCACCGGCTCCGCTGCCACATGGCAACGAGGAGCAATAGCTACAACCCCTGCACTCTCTGCCACCGTGGGGCACATCTTGAGTGGGGCAAGCAAACAGTGTGGCTCTTCCAAGAGCTCAGAGAGCAGGACACAAGGCAGAAGATTAAAACATAAAAACTATCCAGCAGCCTCTTAAACAATATATATAGAGAGAACATAACAATAGGCTACATTCTGCAAAGTCACACAGACCTAGACGCGGCTTCCTGCTGCTCTTTGAGCCGCTAGAAGAGCCATCGGCATCAGCCCAGAGACAGCAGCAGATGGGCTACCCCCCAGCACCAGAGCCCCGCGGGATCTGCAGGAAGGGCTGCGCACATTCGCTCAGGTGCTCGGGCCTGCACCAGCAGCCCCCCATCACAAAGGCTCCTCTGCCTTTCCTCCAAACCTTCCTCCTCTGCTAATGCTACTGCAAAGCACAGTTAGTTGAGAATGGCCTCCAGATTACAAAATCGGCCTCAAAATCACAAAATTAGAGTTGTGAACTTTCAGATTTTGCAAGTCTAGCAACACTACTACATAAAGCACTTCCAGTTTGCTTCCTGACTGCAGCTCTTACTGTGCTGCTTTATGCTGTTGCTGAGGATGTAGAGCATGCTATTTTTTGCCTTTTTTAGCACTTTCCCAATCCATCTGCTGAGCCATACAAATATTTGGAGACAATTATCAATGAAATATCCATTTTGGTCTTAAAAATAGACCTGTTTCACTGTTAAACAACAGGCAAATAGGGACAGTGCAATTTACCTAATGTCACAGATTCAGCTTCATCTTTATATCATTTTTTCTTGCTCTAAGATAATATCCTGATTGCACTAGTTTTATCTCCTTGAAGCATCTATTCAGTATCCAAACATGCTTTGAACTACCCTTTCATAAATACTAAATGAAAGAGTTCATCTGGGTTATCTCGGTTCATGGCTACATTAACAATTACTTTGCAAATGAGCTCGGGATATTCACAGCAAATGCTTAATCTTATTCAAAGCTGAATTCAAAAGAAAATTTGTAATGCCTCCTTTCACATGAAAACTCACAGGTGCACACATTAAAAACTGATATTTACAGACCATTTTCTCTTTCTCCCTGCCCAACATAGGGCAAGCCTGTACCTTTCCTAATAGAAAAAAAGGCAACAAGACACCCTTATAAAAAAAACCTCCCCTGGTCTGGATTGGCTGAATACAATTTTAATCAAGTGTTACAGGAACCTGAAGGGCATCACCAATATCCCTGCAGTAGCTACGGATTTGTCAGCTGGGATTCCTACATGCTTCAAGCAGGCCTAAAATTTCCCTATTCTGAGCTACACTGGAAAGCTACAAACATGCAAAGAAGTTTATGAACAGGACGCACCAACCAGGAACCTAAAGCATCTCACACCACTAGCATCAGCATCCGTGCTGTGAACAAGTGGCTTCCCACTGTGATCTATCTCTATTGCTTCAAAAGGCAACAAAAACAGAGGGGAAAACCAGCCCAGGAACCCAATGTACACTGTGAAAGAAAATTTCAGTCAGCCAGAAGGAACTACGTTCCACACCGCTAATGTAAACAGATACACTATAAGGAATATTATCCAAACTCCTTTCAGAAATTTCCAAAAATATAAAAATATTGGATATACCCAGGGACTTGGATGATAATGCAATGTAATGGAAAATGCCAAGTAAGACAGGGAAAGCAATTAGGATGAAGACAAAAAGAACATCTCTAAGAAAAGAGGCTTGGACTGTAACAGCTTTTAGCATAAATAAAATCTTTAGGGTGCAGACTGAGAACTCCTTAGATAACAGTTGGATGAAGGCTGCCGGAGAAACTTGGGGCATGACCGGCTATTTTCAGCCCAGGCCACCCCCCTGCCCTGCACAGAAAACACCCATGATGAAGAGGAAGGTAAACTATTTTTCACCTGGCTGAAAAATGACCTAGGGCTTGGCAACAGCAAAAAGTGCAAGAAGCAGTGCTGTATTAAGGCAAGTTAATATTCTGTATGATAGAATAAAGATGACTTGCAGCTTCACACAACATGCCAAGTTTAT